TGGATGTTGTCAAGCGGGGTTTTGAATCTGGAGCTAGGGTCCCAAAGAAGAAGGTCACTTTAGAACTCTCTTCTGGTGGTGACATAGGGGCTAGTGGTGACAGTGGGGTCAAGTTAAGAGCCAGAGCATGCAAGTGTATAGAGGAGACAGGTGCTTCATGCAGGTGCAGATGGGACCTTGAGTGTGATGTCCAGCAGAGGTGGCCTCCCCAGGCTGTGGGTCACTGTAGATGGCCACACCCTGTGCCAGGTGCTGGACATGGCACTTGCCTTCCCTCCAGGATTCCCATTCTCATCAGGGGAACAGGCCGTTCCAGCAGCTGCATTGCTGCTTAAATCCCTGCAGACTTGAGAACACAGGCGAGCACACCTCCACCCCTGCCTCGAAAGGCAAGGGTTTATGGCATTTGAACTAAGCCTTGAAAGAGTTAAGAGTCTGCAAGAGTCCTCCGGAAGGCAGCTGTGAGAACTCCCATGGATGGAGGCCGTGAACCAGGGGTCTCACCGAATGTGAGTGAGTGCATGAAAGGAAGGAGGATGAGCTCTTTGGAGAGTCTGAGGAGCTGGGGAAGAATCTAGTTTATGGAGCTGGAGTTGGGAGTGGAGACAGAGTTGGAAAGTGGAGTCAGAATCAAAGCCGACTTTTATTGATTCTCATCAGCATCATTTTTATTTCATGCTCACATTGTTGCCCTGTTGTCTGCTGTTTCCAAGCATGAGCTCATTTAACTGTGAGTGACCGTTATTCTTCCCGATTTGCAGCGAGGAAGCTGAGACATAGATTAAGTGATTTTCCCATGCTCACATCACTCCTGTGTGGTGGAGCCAGGCCAGCATCTGTTCTGATGGGCTCCAAAGCCTCTTCTCTGCACTGCTGGTGGGGCTGGAATCACCCGCACAGCAGATCAGCCTAGCAGATGTGTGGAAGTGATTTCTTTGTCGGTCAGTAAACTGTGACCTTTCATCCTATCCCTTTACCTGGCTTTATGTCTTTATGGCATTTGTCCCTGACATTTTTCTGGTAGATTTATTTACTTACTATTTGTCTCCTTCGTTAGAACATGAGATCCAGGAGGACAGGGACTCTGTTTTTATCACAACTGTTCACTTTGTCCCTAGAACAATGTCGGCCACATAGTAGCTGCTCAACAAATATTGTAAAACAGTAGGAGTCTTCACACCATTACCATGTGCGAAGTGTTTGGCCGGTACTAACTTATTTGATTTTGTTATCTCATTAGAAATTGAGATAGAGCCACAGCTGGGTTAAGGAACTTCTTCAACATCACAAGCCTAGAAAAAAAATAAAAGCTAGGATTCAGATGCAAGTACTTAATCTTCAGAAATCAGGTCCTTAAATGCTAAGCTTTACTGCTTTTCTGAGAGAATGAATGATTAGTTAAGACAGATTTATATAAGCCATAAAATGTACTTAGTAATGTATTTCAAAGTAAATAGTCTGTCAAGTAAAATTTATAAATAAAGATGCCATATTTTTCTTTTTAGGAAAGGACAATCAATGAGTAAGACAGGGGTCTGGAAAAAGCAAAATAGTACATATATTTTTAAATGTAGACTCAGATTCCTGGAAAGTGTATTATTATAGCATCACTTATAATCTAAGACCATAAATGGACCATAAATGAATACTGGATTTTAATGGCTAGTAAATCTGTCTCCAGTATGTTCCAAACAGCATTTTACACATCCCTTATCTTCATAAGATGTACTTACCTCTTATGGAAGAAACTGTAATAATAAACAGATGTTAATTTTCATCATAATTTATTTGTTAGTTTTAAAAGCTCAGTTCAGTGCCTCAGAACTATATGATAGTTGGAATTTGTAATTACAGTTTAACTGGAATCAGTCTTGAAATAGAATTCAGTCTTTTAGAACCTCTGCCTAATACTTAACAAATGTATTGGCTTTTGCTTTCTAATTTAGCATTCAGTCTGAACGAGACAATCCATACATCCATATTCTTCTAAGCATAGAGGTTAGATTAAGTTAAGTCCAAATTGCAAATACTAGGAAATTGTCTCCTGACCAAAGGAGAGATAAACAGCTAAATCATTGAATTCTTTCCAGACACAGGCAAAAGTGTTTCAAAGTCAGTTGTACCAAATAATTAAAGTTATCTATGATATTTTAAATATTCATGTTTTAATCCATTTTCAAACATTGACTTTTTCATTCCTGCAATCAACATTTCATTTGCTTTCCCTTTTCTGTCACCTGCTCACATTTTATCATTTAATTTCTAGCCCTTTCATGCTTGCAACGGTTAGGACATTTTCTCATTATGGGTGGAATTTTGCATCACCTTTTAGATTTGAAATAGTAGCAAGGTCTGGTGCTTAGGCATCATTTAGATTGATATCAGATGATTGCTGCAAACAGGAGTGCCTTTACCATCTTCCAAACAGCTCCCGATAATGTGCATAGAACATTTTCTTACTCTTCCCTTGATTTTTTTTTCATTTGAAAATCTCTTCATCCCTATCCAATGACTTATTGAAAACACTTGCTTTGAAGCTTAAAGTGTTGCAAGATGGTGGCATAGCACTTTTATAGGAGGTCTCAATCATATAGAACATCTGTGACTTTAACTCCAAATGGTAAGAAGATCCGATCATCTGATAGATTTAATTGTGACCTTTTTGATTTTTTATCTCAGAGGCAGTAATACATCTCCATATGTGTGTGTGTGTGTGTGTGTGTGTGTGTGTGTGTGTGTATGAGAAGAATAAAAGTTCTTGGGCCTTTTGAGGATTAGTAGATTAACATTTATTTATACTTAAGACGACTATGGCTTACTCTATGGTAAATCAAAATTAGGATTCTGAGTGTGAAGGTGGAACCTACTTTGTGTTTTGGAGTGCTCACACACCTTTGGAGTCTATTCTCGACAAGTGTGCAAGTTTTTGAAGTGTTTCTATTTGGAGATACAAGGAGAAGAACCTCAGTGGCCCTTGTTGTGGTCACAAATAGAAGCCTTTATGAAATCCATTGTACACTTTAGTGAATAAAAGGTAACAAAGCCAGGGATGATTTTGATCCACTAATAATCCACAGGGGTTATTTCATTCTAGGATTTGACTCCTTTGTTCTGAAGAAACCATTGTGGCATTTTTATTGTGGTGGGGGAAGTTATTTATAAACCTATCTCCTGGTGTCCCTCAGGAAAGCAGCCTTGCAGTGGAAGAGGGAAGCCAGTTAATATCTATCTGAGTTAATATTTGTTAATATTATACATGTCCTATAAGTAGGATGTGCATACTTGTTTGGAAGTCACATTTTGAGTTGCATTTATTTTTCCTCAATTTTTAAAGAAAATTAACTATATTGTAACTCCCAAAGGACTCTTAAAATGTATATCTCATCATTCTATCATCTTGATACAAATATTTTCATTTTCTCATTCCCTTAGTTCCTGTTCATATATGAATTTGTTTTAATGTTGAAATCGTGTCTATTTTTTCCCATTTAACATAAAGATATTTCCACTGTTAAAAAGTTTTCATCATAATTTTGGTTCCTACTATGTAACTCATTAGCACTTATCTTTATGTAAAACTTTAAAAAGTACTTGCTAAATTTCTTTTCTTGTCTAGTTCACATTAGCATCCACTCATCATTATTTCAATTTTATGCAAATAGTAATCTCATTAGTTTCTTTACACATGAATGTTTGCTCTTATATAATCCTTCATGAATATGTGTGTGTGTGTGTGTGTGTGTGTGTGTGTGTACACACACATATATATAGCAAGTTTTAAAAGACAATGAAAATTACTGCATAATTCAGAAGTGACAGTAGGAAAGGCCTGAATTATTTATCTTGTACTCTCTTGGGTAAATGCTAATTTATTCTTTAAATTTGCTTTTTTCTAATGTGCCATGTTGTTTGCCTAATTTAATTTGATTACTATTTTTACATTTCATATTTGTACTTTAAAGTTGAAATAAATACTACATAAATGAAAGCAATGAGGTTTATTTGATATTTGATTCCAGTGATTTATGATAAAAACTATCTTTAAGTAATAAAATATATATAAACTTGAAGATTGATGTGGAAACCACATTGGTGCACTAACTAAATATTTAAGATTTATTCTTAAATTATGTCTGTGTTGATGGTTACCTGGAACATAATCTTATAACTAGTATAAACACAGGATATAATAAGTTTGTTGGAAGAGGAGGTGTAGTCATATCAGATATGAAGACTTGGCTTTTGTAATGACTTGAAACATAGTGAATAGTGCTTTCCTTCAAAGCGAACACCCATATCCTTAAAACATTACTCTCTGTACATATGTATGCGTATTTATTTCTATAAACCACAAACACAGTTGTGCCTTATTTCTGAATCTTAGTTCCTTCTATATTTATAAATTTGAAGATTCCAACATTATGTTATCCCTTTTTTTGCTTAAGTAATTAAGGAGTATAGGTGTAGTATTCAGGCCCAACTTTTCATTTCTGTGGTGCTTTAAAGCACTTTTAAATGTTATTTTTAAATTGCTTTAAACAAATAGTTGTTTTTTTTTTTAACATGAAATAGATTAGATATTGTATCCTCTTGTTTAGCCACAGGGTTTTACTTAACCCATTTTACATATCTTGTGTATAAACAAAAAACTGAGTTATCCTGATTGCTTCCCCTGGGCTCTTGCCTTCTAGTTACCTTTGCAAATCTGCCATTTTCCAGTTAGTACTGAGTGTCCCTGAAGACCCTCCTTGTGTTTCTTGAGCACTGTCGGGTGTCTGGGTGGTTGTTTAGATTCATCCGAGATACTTCACTTGCAGTAGTTTCTGAAGAAAACCAGAAAGAAGAGAACATTGTGAAGAGTAACCTGTTGGGTGTCTAGATGTACTTGTATCTTATGCTTTTGGGCAGGGGAACTTGTCAGTTGCATTTTTTTTTTTTTTGAACACTGTGGTCAAGAATCTGATCAGTTGTATTTATTTTCTTTGTTCCTGTGTTTTTAGGAGCTGCCTACAGTCCTCCTTCTTCATGAGCTGGCAAAGCAGGAAGGAGCATGGACCATACTCCCCCTGTTACCGCAGTAGGTGCATTTAACGCCAACATGTCAATTACTGACATTTCAACCTGACCACTTTTGTGCTCCCTGGTTTTCTTATTAAGAAGGTGTTTTTCCTCAGTCAACAAGTGAAGTAAATTTGAGTTTTATTTTTTATGATTACCATATTAAACAGATTTCTTGATTGGTTCTTATTCATACATAGCTTTTAATTTTAAATGTGCTTTATTCTTAAAAGATTGAATGCTTCAAGCTGATATTTGAAAATTATTTTTCTTGTGAACTGGTGTTGTTATGGAGATAATTAACTTTAAGAACTCTTGCTGCTTTGTAGACCATTGGTATATGGCTTTACTATAAGTCGAAACTCTAGACGTTGAAGAACAGTTGAGAGGAAAAACCTTCTATTGTCGACGGTTCTATTTGAACTTCATCCATTCCTTACCTACCAGTTTTAAGTCTTACTATAAACTCATTTTACACAGATGATGACTGTAACTTATTTCTTTTTGTTAGCTTTTCTGGAACATATAGCCGCAATTCATCATGGATTTTCTTCTGTGAAGAGGAGACAAGGATAGAGATTCCCAAACTCTTAGAAACACTCAGACGATACGATCCATCTAAGGTGAGTACAACTTCAGTGCTGGTATGTATACTTTCCAGCTAATGCTTCAGAGAAAAAGTTTAATTTCGATTAAGAGGCGTTAGAATAAAGACAATTAATAATTGTAATAAGTTCTAATAAAGACAATTTAAAGTGAAAAGGAATGAAGGAATAGGTGAATATCTGGAAGCTATGTTAAAAAAATTCTCTGGGAGGCTTATGGGTTATGGAGAGATGGAATGTAGAGTGAGCATCCCCAATGAAAAAAATCCCCAATGAAAAAAATCTATTTATATGTGCTAAAAATTTCAGAGTCAAAAAATTACACACAGAAGAGTTCATAAACAGTTTCCCATAGAAATAAACTTAAATTTGGTTATTTTTATTTTTTATCATTCAGAAAATATATGTATTATTTTATATAGAAGTATTTTTGAGTACCAGCAGTGTGTTAGGCACCCTGGACAGCAGGAGCTAGGATAACACAGACAAGGATCCTGACAACATGGATGGTATAGAACAGGAGCCTTTAGTGAATCAATTACAGTTAAAAGAGATCTAAAAGAAGGAGAAGCTTGAGAGGCCCTTAGAAGCATATAACAAGGTGTTGAGCCTAATCTAGGAGGGTCAGGGCAGCAAAGGATGCTTACTCTCAGCTAAGTCCTGTAGGATGAGCAGGAATTAGCAGAAGAGGATATCCAGGCAGAAGGAACTTATTTGAGAAGGACTGAAGTGAGAAGGAATGGTTCTTGCATTAGAGGGATTCAGTGAAGTTCACAACCACTTTCATATTTTTAGGTCTTATTTCGTGTGTACATTTGATACAGCAACAGGATCTTGTTTCCCTCTGAATCCCTAGCTTTGAGCAGAGGGTTGAACATTTAGGAGGGGTCAATGACCCTTGGTGAATGGCTGAAAACCCTAAAATATCATCTTTCCTTCCAGATTGTGGTCAAAGGCTCAGAGTGCTTAGAAGGCTGCCCTGGACATAGGTCAAGAGTCAATCAAGGGACTGGGGATATAGCTCAGTTGGTAGAGTGCTTGCCTTGCATGCACAAGGGACTGGGGATATAGCTCAGTTGGTAGAGCGCTTGCCTTGCATGCACTAGGCCCTGGGTTCAATCCCCAGCACCACATTCAGTTCTCTTAGAAAAGCCTTGGTTACAACCTGGTTGCTTTATGGGATCCTTTAGACTTGGGATAAGCAGAGTTGGACCCTTTCTGGTACCGCTAGTTACCTACGCCACCTGGAAGCCCACTCCAGAAAAGTATGTGGTTTAATGACTTTCTGGGGAATGAAAGGCCAGTTATGGCTTCCTGCTTGGTTTGTTGATATAAATGTAAAGAAGGGCAGCCGTGGTCATTAGATTAAGTTCTCAAATATAGGGGTAGTCTGTTACTGTAATATTAACCACTGATTTTGATAATCTTTAAATGCTGGAAGGATCTACATGGTTTCTCTTTTTTGCTTTTGATTCTCAGAAGGTATAGATATAATTGGATGAGAAGGTTGTTAGGTGAAAAAACAAAGTCTTCAAAGAAGAGAAAAGTTATGAACCCAACTCCTCCAGTCTTTTGAAATGAAGCTAACCAGCATCTGTGTACTTGGTTGCCATGTTTTATATAAATCCTTCATTAAGCTTTTATGCTTTTTTTTTTTTTTACTTGAGAAAAACTCCCAAATCTTTCTTAGGATGTAGGAGTTTCAGTCTCCTCCTAGTGTTCGGTTCACCTGAAGATTATTTTTCCATTATCCATGGCTCTAATTCTGTACAGGAGATGGTGACTCACTGTGCTTTTTAATGAAAATTGTGATGATAAATGTAAAAGTTCAAAACAAGTTCATGAAAAGCAAGTACAGAACAGAGGTGAAATGAGATGTTTTTCCCTCTTTTCTGAACTCTGCCTCTGGGGAGAAAAATGTCTATGATGCTTTATTTCTTTTGAAACTAACATTGAGGAATAAAGATTACATAATTTGAAGTGAGCTCAAACCCATATGATTTTTTTAACCCCTTTATTCTTTTTTCCTAAGATTTAAAAATCTTAGGAAAAAAAGCACAAAGCAAGCCTGACTTTGATATTGATACAAATAAGCCACATTCAAACAATAACTATATAATGTGTTAGAAATCAGGTCTTTTGTTTGCTTCTGATATTTTTCTTTAATATCATTCAGCCATTCTTACAAATGCAAATTTATATTGTTTATATAGTATTTTAAATATAAAAATAAATCTTTATTAAATGATCTCTGCTAAATGGCCTTCCTAGGTGGTTTCTGTAATTTTCCGTATCTCATTTGTTATCTTTTTTTTTTTCTCATAGTATGCTTTTCATGGGTGTGTGTTTGATGAAGTGTGTTGACTTCTTGTATTTATTTTTAATAGAGGTGAAATATCCTACAGTGTGTATCACTACTGTGAAGCCATTAAAGTCATGAAAAAAATAGGGGGTTTGGCTCTTTCCATAGATTCTATATTAGTTACTTCCTTAAAGTTGTGTATAGCCTGCACAAAAATATTGAAAAACATTCTTACATAGTTTATAATAGCTAGACACTGCAGTTAGGAGATAAAATATTATGACAACATGTTTTACATAAAATTATGTTTGGAATGAGAGGTTTTAGTAGTAAAAGATCGGTAAGAAGGTTGCCAAAATATACCAAGGTGTTTATTTTCTTTATAGGCTATAGAGGCATGGTATGATAAATTGGTGATTTTCTTTTTTTTAAAAAAAATTGTTCTAATTAGTTATACATGACAGTAGAATGCACTTTGATACATCATATACAGATGAAGTATAATTTCTCATTCTTCTGGTTGTACATGTTGTAGAATCCCACCGGTCAAATAGTTCTATATGTACATAGGATAATAATGTCTGATTCAATCTACTATCTTTCCTATTCTTATAACCCCCCTCCCTTCACTCACTTCTACCTAATCTAAAGTAACTCTGTTCTTCTCTAGCACCCCACCTTCTTATTGTGAATTAACATCCATATATCAAAGAAAATATTTGGCCTTTGATTTTTTGGGATTGGCTTATTTTGCTTAGCATCATATTCTCCAGCTCCATCCGTTTACCAGCAAATACCATAATTTCATTCTTCTTTAAGGCTGAGTAATATTCTATCATGTGTGTGTGTGTGTGTGTGTATATATATATATATATATAAAATACATATAATATATATTATATGTAGCATGTAATACATATATATTATATGTATTTTATATATATCTCTCTATATATATCACATTTTTTAACTCCATTCATCTGTTGAAGGACACCTAGTTCCATAGTTTAGCTATTGTGAATTGAGCTGCTATGAGCATTAATGTAGCTCAAAACTATAGTATGCTGATTTTAAGTCCTTTGGGTATAAACCGAGACGTGGGATAGCTGGGTCAAATGGTGGTTCTATTCCAAGTTATCAGAGGAATCTCCATACTGCTTTCCATAGTGGTTGTACCAATTGGCAGTCCCACCAGCAATGTCTGAGTGTGCCTTTCCCCCCACATTCTCGCCAACATTTATTGTTGCTTGTATTCTTGATAACTGCCATTCTGACTAGAGTGAGATGGAATCTTAGTTTAGTTTTGATTTGCATTTCTGTAATTGCTAAAGATTTTGAACATGTATTTGTTGATCGATTGGATTTCTTCTGTGAAGTGTCTCTTCAGTTTCTTAGCCCATTTATTGATTGGGTTATTTGTTGTTATTTTGGTGTTAAGTTTTCTTTAGCTCTTTATATAACCTGGAGATTAGTGCTGTATCGGAGGTGCATATGGTAAAGATTTTCTTCCATTCTTAGGCTCTCTCTTCATGTTATTGTTTCCTTTGCTGAGAAGAAGCTTTTTAGTTTGAATCCATCCCATTTGTTGATTCTTGATTTTATTTCTTGCAATATAGGAGTCTTGTTAAGGAAGTCAGATCCTAAACTGACATGGTGAAGATCTGGGCCTATGTTTTCTTCAATTAGGCGCAGGGTCTCTGCTCTAGTGCCTAAGTCTTTGATCCACTTTGAGTTGATTTTTGTGCAGGGTGAGAGATAGGGGTTTAATTTCATTTTGTTACATGTAACTTTCCAATTTTCCCAGCATTGGAAAGAGTTTGATAGTTTTGATAAAGAGCTAAGTTATTGACTTTTTAAAAAGCTATTGAAATCCATCTGAAGCTGAGGTTATTTGCCTTGATAATTACTGGGCATGCTTCTCACCTCGTAATGACTTAAACTAGGGCTCTGGGAGTTATTTGGGATACAACCACAAGCACAGTAAGACTCTTAAAAGTTGTTGAAGGGTACATAAGCACTATATCCCTCCCACTTTTATATTTGTATAAGGGATAGAATAAGGTGGCATTAGTTGAATCAGAAAGAAAATAACATCAAAATTTTTAGAGCTTAGGGTAACTTGATTTGTTATGTTTTAGTTTCTTCAATCTGTCCCCAGGGCTTTCTCCATTTAACAAAATGTTAAATTTCTTTCATTTAACAAAAAGCAACAAAGTGCCCATTACATATTAGAGAAACTAGAGGGATATCAGTGAACAAAATAGATGACATCCATGCCCCCAAGGAGATGATGCTGTGTTTCAGAGAAGGATGTGATCAAAATGCAAACAAATATATAATACATCAGATGGCAACAAGTGTTATGGAGAAAAAGCAGAATGGGAGTACAAGAGATTGAGAATGGGCTTCCTAGGCCCTGTAGGGTGTTCAGAGTACCTCCCTGATCAGGGCTCACGGGAGCAGAGAGAGAAAGAAGTGAGGGAGTGAACCCGGTGTTCCCCACTCCTGTATCAGACCTGCCACCTCATACCTCTGCTTATCTAAAGAAACTTCAGACTCAATACGTTCAAAACTGAGCTTTTCATGCCCTCCAGTGCCCCTTCCATGCTCAGTCCTCCTATTCTCAGAAATGGCATCACTGTCCATCGAGTTGCTCATAAAACAAACAAACAAACAAAAAACAAAACAAAACAAAAAAAAAAACTAGGACTTGTGATAGTTTCCTCTTTTTTATCTTCAGCTCCACGTTTGTCTGTCCAGCTGGATCTACTTTCAGAATATCTCAGTCAACCATCTTCTCTCTAGTACTAGTACTGTGGTCCAAGCCACCACCATCTCTTGCCTTGACCACTAATAGAGCCTCCAAATTGTTCTCCTCATTTCTGTTCTCCCCATCCTAATAATCTAGCTCCTCTATGATTCAGATCTTACCACTTACCTGCTCAGAAACTTCCAGTGTTTCTCATTTCATGAAAGATATTTTCACTGGGTATCATTTCCTAGATGGGCAGTCATTCTTTAGTCTTTGGTCACTCTAAGGATGTTGTACCATCGTTTTAACCTCCCATTATTTCACCTGAGAAATCAACTGTTTATCTTTTTTTTTTATTCTGTTGAAATAGATGTTGTACACATTTGCCTCCTTCCTTGAACACTCTTCACTAGCTGCTTTTTAAATTTCTCTATCTTTGGATTTCGATAGTTTTACCATTATGTGCTTGTGTGTGGTTTGCTTTTGTTCATTCTGATTTGAATTTATAGAGATTCTTGAATCTATGGCTTGATGACTTTTGTTAGTTTTAGAAAGTTCTAAGCCCGTATTCAACTATTGCTTCATTTTCTTTCCCTCTCTTTTCATATCCTTAGTTTCCAATTTCATGAATTTTTCTGTCTTTTCAATGTACCTCATATGGCCTTAAGTGCTTTTCTGTATTTTCCTCCTTTTGGTGCCTCAGTCTGGATATTTCTTTACTGACTTACCTTCCAGATCACAAATCTTCTCTTCCATTGTGTTTAATATCCATTTGAATTCCTAATTTCAGTCCTTGAATCATTCAGTGTTAGTATTTCCATTTGACTCCTGTTTATAGATTCTAGTTCTTTGATACGGTTCTCCATCCTTTCGTCTATTTTCTTAAACATATTAATAATGTTTAAAGTTTTGCTTGATAGCTACAAAATTGAATTTCCCTGTGCATCTGTATTTTTCACTTAATCTCTTTGTTTTTGATTTGGCCTTATTTCTTGTCTTGCCTTTTAATTTTTGACTGAATGCTACATATTAATGTGAAAAATTAAGGGGGCTGTGGATGATAGAAACTTTCTTTGGGAGAATACAATATTCTTCTGTGTCACAGGCCTGGTTTGGGTAAGTCTGTTTACAGATCACCCTTACTCTTAGCATCCTTTCATCCTGGTAGGGTCTTCCCAGAACCATAGACCACTGAAGGCTTTGCTCAGCTTTTTAGCCTTTCCACTTCTGCTTCCTGTTTGGTTCTGGGCCAATCTTGGGTTCCCAGAGATGGGTTTTTCAATTGTGAAATTTTAGCCTTCACGTCCTGTCTGCCTTTGTTGTTTTCCAAGGACTTCAGTCATTTGTGTTATATGTTTCTCCAGCATTCATACCTGTTTTTAATAGTGACATAGATCTAATCCAGGCTATTCTGTTGTGGCCAAAAGTGGAAGTCTTTTATTGCCTTTAGAATAAATCTTATGTTCCTTTCCTCTGATTCAGAAAACCAATCTGGTCTGTCTTCTGCCTGTCTCTTTCATACCATGTCCCCCAAATCCAGCATCTGCTAGCCAACCTAGATGTATTTTGTCATCAAGTTTTTTCTTACCTCAGGGACTTTTGCGTTAACTTCCTCAGATTTCTGCAGAGTGGGCTCCTTGGTATTATTTCATTTCCATTTATTTGTTACATGAGGTATTTCCCTTTTGATCCAGGACAGCCCCCAGTCAATTGCTGTATTTATTTGTTAATTCCTATCTCCCTGCTATAGTGTAAGCTATATTGCTGCCTGCTGGAGATTCTCAATAAATATTAATTGAATGAATGAATGAATGCATAAAATAGACACTGGATTCTCAAAAGAATCTTTCAGATCTTTCTTTGAAATCCTAGTGAAGCATAGGAGCTACTATGCTCTTTGCTTTCATAATATTTTTATATGGAATATTCTATAAAATACCACTTTTATAAACTTATGGTATAATGATGACTCACATTTTGTTCATCCAGATGATCTGATCTTGAACTACATATATATATATATATACATAGATATAGATATATTCATTGTCATAGTGGTTTAATTATATTTTTGTTCCAATTCTGCCAAAGTACATAATCTGTGTTGACTCTATCTCCCATGATATTTAATTAATTAAAACTAATGGTACGACTTTGCTTTGGGTTTTACATGAAATGGCCTTTCTATAAAATGACATTTTATATTTCTATTTAACAGGAATGGTTTTTAGGAAAAGCATTACATGATGAAGAATCTTCAGTAATTCACCATTATGCCTTTTCTGAAAATCCTACGGTTTTTAAATATCCAGACTTTGCTGCCGGCTGGGCCCTTAGTATTCCACTTGTAAACAAGTAAGAATTGATTATTCGACTTTTTTTTTTTTTGTGTGGTGTATGTACCAACTTTTACTTTGCTGAGTTCTGTTCCTGCTGGATCTCAGGATCTCAAATGAGTTTTTCAGCCAGAGGCAGTGGGTGGTAAAATGAAAAAAAAGGGACATGGAGCGAGAGCCCTGAGGGCTGTTGCTTCAAGTCTGTCACTTATGAGTCCCCTCAGACAAATCACTCCATTTCTCTGTACTTCCTCTTACTCACCTGCAAAGTAAAGCAGGCAATAAATTGTGAGACCAAGGAGAGCACGTAAGGGCCCTGAGAACTGTGTACAAGGAAGCAACACTACTCTTTTGAAGGGACTTGGTTTGCTTCTCAGTATTACATTGATTGCAAGTAAGAAAGCGAATCAGTAGCATGCTGAGGTGGGGGGCGGATGGCTTCTTATGTGCGTGGTTATGCATGTTAAACACGGGCCCGGCAGGAGGGAGGGCCAGCAGAAGGTGCTGTCGGTGGTCATACCCAGGTGTGTGTGTGCACAGCTGCAGCGGTGCTTGATTACATATGGAAAGTGAAGATGATTAAGTTGCAATTCAGGAGAAGTGTGATTGTCGAAAGGCTCTTGTCAATCTGAATACTTCATGCTCCTTAAAGATTGAAAAGTTGACAAAACACTTGTAACCTTTATATCTTCAGAGATGAAAGGGTTTTCGCTTCTCATTCAGTGTCCTGCTTCTAGGGCTTGGGGTTTGAAAAGAGACTGTGTTGCCCCTAGCTGGCCAAAACTTGTTCACTATTCTCTTCACTTTCGAAAGTTCTGTAGAGTATAATATCCTTCTTCCCCGTGTAGAATCCACACCACCACCACTAGAGCAAGACTTCCTCTGTTGGGCGAGGGGTCTAGTTCAGGAGTAGAGTTCTTGCCTAGCATGCATGAGGCCCTGATTATATCCCCAGCACCACAAAAAAAACAAACAAAAAAACCAGTGGCAGCGAGACCTATTTTTTTTCTATTTCAATTTATTTTTAACTCATATATAAATACATAAAGTTGTATGTATTAATGGGATACCATGTGCTGTATGATATACATTATACAGTGTGTAAAATTTAAATCATTATACAAGTTATACATGTATCTGACTTCAAACATTTATCACATGTTTATGGTGAAAACATTCACACTCCTTTCTTGTAGCTTTTGATTGACAGCACATAATTACCTGATTATAGTGAAATCACACCAGAACTTCTTTCTCCCATCTAACTGTAACTCAGCACCCATTGATCTACCTTTTTCTCTCCCTTCCTCTCACTTCTCTTCCCAGTCTCTAGTAACCACTATTCTACTCTCATATTCTATAAGATCAAATTTTTAGGTTCCAAATATGAGTGAAATCATACAGTACATGTCTTTCTGTGCCTGGCTTATTTTATTTAACATAGTGATCTCTAGTTTTATCTATGTTGTGGCAATTGACAGGATTTCATTCTTTTTTTATGACTGACTGGTATACATATATACCACATTTTTTTTTTTTTTTGTCCGTTTATCACTTGATGGACACTTAGGTTGTTTTCATTTCTTGGCTATTGTGAAAATAGTGAGCTGTTTCAGCCTTTCCCCATTCAGCATTATGCTAGCTATTAGTTTATTATACATGACCTTTATGATGTTCATCTGAAAACTAGATGATCGTTTTCAACCTTCATTCTATTAATGTGTTATATCATGGTTATTGATTCATGTATGTCAAACCTTCCTTGAATTCCTGGGAGGAATCCCACTTGATCATGGTGAATAATTGTTTCAATATGCTGTCGAATTTGTATTGCCAATATTTTGTTGACGATTTTTGCATTAATACCCATCAAGGATATTGGCTTATAGCTTTCTATTTTGTTGTGTCCGTGTCTGGTTTTGGTATCAGAGTGATGCTGACATTGTATAATAAATTTGGGGAAATTCCTCTCTCTTTAGTTTCTTAGAACAACTTAAGAAAAATTGGTGTTAGTTCTTTTTATATTGGGTAGAACTCAGGCGTGAAGCCATCTGATCCTAGGCTTTTGTTTGATGGGAGACTTTATTCCAGTTCTATCTTGTTGTTCATTATTGGTCTGTATAGTGTTTTTTTTTTTTTTCTTCGTGGTTTAGTCTTGGTATGTGTCCAGGAATCTATTTCTTCCTCGCTATCCCCCCTGGGTTTTCTAACCTTCCTTGCTCCTGGGGAACAGCTATGTGATGTATCAGGAAGTTGTGTCACATACAATTCCTTTTGGGAACTGAGTTATGTGGGAAGGAGGCAAAGCACAGAGGAGGATGTGGCTTGAGGGATCTTAGCAGGGGACGAGGCTGGCAGCTAAAGCAGTGAGCTGCTGATATAGCAGCTCCCTGGTGAAGCTCCTTGGCTGCTTATTTCTGTGCAAATCTGGGTTTCGTTCTTGGAGTCTCGGCCTAGAGTTTCTTTACTCAGACATTCCAGCAATTCTTTGAGCCTGAATAAATGCAGCCTGTGCTTCAACTATCCAGAGTGGATTCTTTTGTCTCCAACAAAGACCCCTGACTCTGTACCTGTCCTTAGGCTGCTGGGCAAGAATGCCCTTCTCCCAGCTGGGGCCAAGCTTGCATAAGAGAGTCTGCCTGGTTTCCCTGCTCTTGTCTTGGGAGTGTCAGGAAGGAAGGGAAAAGAAGATAAGAAGAGACAGTTTCATTCCCTCTCACCCTCCACTGTTTCACCTGGCTCTGCTCCCTGTGGGGGAGAGGGGAAAGTGTCTTCCTTCACCTGCTCAAGGTCATATTTATTCTTACATTAAATCACTTTTGGTTTGTTGCAAATTATAGGCCAGGAGCTGCCAGCAACCTTGTGTTTGGAGCCCAGTTTAGTGACCTTCTTTTTGGTCTGAACTCTTAAAAAAAAAAAAAAAAAAAAAAAAACCGAGCTCTAAGCTGCACGTCGTAATCCAAAGCACTGTGCCTTGTTGCTCCAGATTCCGTCCAGCCCCCAGTCTAGAAGGCTTCCCTCATCCTTCCTTGCTCTCTTGACTTTGCTCCCTAGTGTGGAAGGCTCAGGACTGATTTCTCCATGGGAAGAGGCCGGTGTGGCTGTGATTTCTTTGACTTGGGGTTATAAGCTCTTCATAAGCTTGTTTGTCTCCTGTTCCCCATAGTTCAACCATGTCCCTTTAGAAAGGCACAAGCACAGCTCCCTCTGCCTGGTGAAGCGCTATGACACACCACTCCTTCTCCCTCCAGGGCTATGGAGCAACCTGGTGGACCTAGGAGCCCAAGTACAGTGGGCATGGGACGTAGCTATTTCTCTGAGGCCAGTAGATCTTCTTTCCCCATCCCTGTCCTCTGACCTGCTTGGCCTCTCATCCTGAGGGCAAATCCTAGTTGTCTAGAGAGTTCTGCCCATCAGTTCCCCCATTTTCCTTGGCAGACTTTCATAGAGGCCTCTTGATGCTGAATTCAGTTTTGAGTTAGGTGTAGAAGTAACTGTTTTTGCTTCCCTTTTGAGTATTTTTTTTTTAAACCAGGTGGATGGAATTAATCTCTTTGAACACTTCTGTGATTCCTAGTATCCTCTTCTAGGACTGGCTCAGCCAACTCTTATTGCCTGACTGGCTGGCGTGAGAGTACGACTTTTTCTACAGATCCTCGTGGGTCTCCCTCTGCCCATACTCCTCATCAGGCTTAAAGACACCAAAGCCCTGGCTGGTTCCATTGGCTCTGGCGGATGCCAGCTTCCTAACTACTTCACGTTTCCCATGCAAGTAGATGCCCAGGGCTTTGCCAACTAGGGCTGTAGGTTGTACACTAACCCAGGTGCGAGTCCTGTTTGTGGGAGGACTTTTTGTTTTGGATTTCCTGGCATTCTGCAGGGAAGTCCCACAGGAGACCACAGTCATGACTCCCTTCTCTCATGTTCTCGAGGTTGTTGAACACATCGGTTGACAAGGGACAGAGCCATGTACACAGCTTCCACAGGAGGCTCAGGTCTCTTTGTGGTCATGCTTACCAATATTTTCCACTGAGATATGAGAGAGAACTGAGGGCCTCATCACCGCAGCAGGGTGGGTAGGTGTCTTAGTCGTTTTGGGTTGTCTGAACAAAGAACCATGAACTGGTGGATTATAAATTACAGGTTTATTTCCCAGAGTCCTGGAGGCCAGGAAGTCTAAGATCAAGGCACCTGAAGATTCGGTGTCTAGTGAGGCCCCCTTTCTGGTTCACTGATAACACATCACGGTTGTCCTCACATGGTAGAAAGGTCACACAAGCTCCCTCAGGCTTCTATTATTAGAATTCTATTCCCATTCATGAGCTCTCTCTCCCTATGAGCTAATCACCTCCCCATGCCCCCAAATCCAATCTCCTAATAACATCATCTTGAGGGTTAGATTTCAGCATACGGATTTTAGGGGAATGTAGACATCTAGATCCTAGGAATAGCGAACTATGGCTAAGGAATTTAGGGCCAAGAGACTAATCTTTTGCACAAAGTTCTTTCCCCATAACTTAACATCATACAGGAATGAGGTACCAGATAACCTGAATCGGTCTCATCTGCTCTTCACAACACTGAACAGTAATCAATAAACTATAGCATGCTTTTAGTGGATTAATTTCCATGATCTCCTCCCTGTTTTGCCTCCCTTTCCCCTGCCAGCAAAAACAAACCAAAACTTTAGGTTCTACTATAGTAAAAGATTCAAATTCCAGTTTTTTAAGACCATGTTTATTCTTTTCCCCTGATGCAGACAAGTAATCAAACCAAATGATATAACACCTCTGGCATAGCAACTCTCTCATGACCAAGGTATATTGTTAAGTGATTTTCTAACAGGAGATTCTTATTCTATAAGAAATTAGTATTGCACTTAGAACTAAAGGGGAACAGAAGATCTCCTTTAGTCCCATCAACTGCAAAAATTTCCTAGTTGTTTTTTTTCTCAGTTCTGAACTAAAGCACTGACCTATTTCCTCCTGTTATTAGGAACTATGTGAGTTGGCACGCTTTGGGGTGCAAATAACAGTAAACAACTCAAAGTGGATTAAGGAAATGTTACTGCTGTAACTGGAGGTGAGGTCTCTGGTTGGTTGACACGAGTTCAGCAGCATGATTGAGGATCCAAGTTCTCTCTGTCTCTTGCCTATAGGTCACATTGTCTGTTTATCCTAAATCTGTTTCCTTTTGTGGTTTCAAGACAGTATGGACTTTATGTTTCCTTTTTCTCTCCACCAGCAGAGGACCTCTCCCCCAGGGGAAGCTAAGCCCTTATCCTGAGTCTGGTTGGGCTCTTTTAAGGCACACACCAACCTTGGACTGACTGTTAATAATTACCAGGGATTGCAGTGCTTTGATTGGTCCAGAATTCTCAGGTTCTGATCTTGAAGCTTATTTAATTCTTTGGCTTAATAATTAATCAAAATCAAAATTTGTTTAGGAAGAAGGAAGGGGAAACTGCAGTGCATAAGAAGGAGCAATGCCCATCACAGGGACACTGATTCCTTTGTCTGATGTTATGCCCACTTCAAAGATAAGGCAACAATTTAGAGATACTAAGTGCTTCTTTTGCCTAAGTCACCGTGACAACTGGTTACTTAAACACATTTCATGACACACACTTCCTTAGACTTTTTCCTAGGAGAAATAATATCTGTTTTAATGATCCTACAACAATGAGTTTTGAATTAACACGGCTCAACGTTTCTAACAGTCCATCCGTGGGATCCTCTGACAAGCCCTGGTGCTCTGTCCACATGATCTCTTGAAAAAAAAAATTGTATCTTTGGAGAAACTCTAATAATTAAATTTCCAATAAGATGATTTCTTCAAATGTATGTTATTATAGAAAATTGTTACTGGTTTTCTCCATTGTTTTTCTACCTTCTACCTTAGATTTCCTGCAATATCTTGCTCTGTTGACTGGTTCCCAAGTGATACTAGAAAAGTCAACTTAGAAGTTTGCCTGTTATTGAGTTGAAGGGGCCCATGATCTTTTACACACCCTCAGTCTAGCTGGCTGTGTCATTAGAACTGTGCTAAAAATTAACAGCTTCTAAAAATTAGGAAAACTGAGTTTCAAATATCATAGATATAAAGAACTGAATATTTAATGAGAAGACATTGTATCCAAGTAGAATTTCTGGCCTTCATTGTTTATTTAGCATTGTTTGGTACTAAAATTGACATTTGGAAAACCTTGTGCTATGATGCTTACTGCATGAGAAAATGAAAGATAGTTCCCAATATTAGGGGTTGCCTTTTAAAATAGATGAGCATCCTATATATTCTTAGGACTTGTATATATTTGCAAATAACTGACTTAGGCCCCAGGCAGCACTAGAAGCTGATTTCATGATGTTGGGGTAATCATAGCTTGGTTTGTGTGCACTCCCTGGGCTGCAAAAGATAGCCACTTAAACCCTATAGGTTATGTTTTTATTTGTTCTCTAATCCATCATTGTATGTTTCAAAGAAATTCTATCAGTGTTTTTTATTTTTTATCCCTCTGAGCTGTCCCTCAAAAAAAAAGAATTCAAGAATTGAATGAGAAAGAAACTTGAAAAATAAAGCATATATTTAAAGCAACAATTCAAAGGTCGATTGTCTATTGAGAAAGGGGAGTATGAAATAACCATCTAACAATGGCTGTCGCATGCCACTTGGATTCTGATCCCTTCTGTGTCCCTTGTCTCTGGCAATAAGCCTGGGTATGACATTTTTTGTCTTTGGAGTTGAAATGAGCTGAATATTTACTGTATGTGGTCTGATTAGCTTTTGAAGGCCTGTGGTGTGACTCTAAACCCCAAAGTTACCTTGATATAGTTTATTTGGGAAATCAGTCTCCAACTGAGCAGAATTCAAATTGAAATAAGATCCTGCTTGCCAGAGCAGGGTTTTTCTTCCCTCTTACTATACATCAGGAATGTATTGGAGGATGTAGTTTCTCTATGAATTCTCACCCACTCTTACTGACAGATCTGTGGGCAGATATCGAACAGGATTTTGACAGATACCACCTGGGTCTTCTTTTGTTGCTACCTGCTCTTAAAACATTCATATCAACCGTGAGACAAATGCTTTATAACTAAACTTAAATAATAAGCTTTCTCTTCCTCCTTTATCTTCTAATCAGAAATGAATTTTTAAAAATAAAAAAAATTAAGAGTTCAATTGGTACATAATTGTACACATTCATGGAGTATAGTGTAATATTTTGATACATGTATATAATGTATAATAATCATATCAGGTTAATATGGCATATCAATCACCTCAAACATGTATTGTTTCTTTGTGTTCAAATATTGAAAATCCTCTCTCCTAATTATTTTTAAATTCAATTATTACTTGCTGTAGTTACCTGGCTGGGTTATAGAACACTAGAAAGTAATTCTCCTATTGAATGTATCTTTATACCTGTTAACCATCCCTTCTGTATCCCTTCCTGCTCCCTACCCTTCATAGTGCCTGGTAACCACTATTTTACTAAAAAGCGTTTTGGGGGCATTTTTTTTTTTGGCACCGGGTTTAAGGCTCAAACCCAGGGTCTTATGCATGCTAGGCAAGCATTTTGTCATTGAGCTACTGCCCCAGCCCTCTAAGAAGTAAATATTTGTAAAGAAAAAAAAATCTTTCATGACCCAAATGGAATAAGATGTAATTATAAGCACAGTAAAAAAAAATATTTTGAAACTTAATACTATTGTTCCTTTTAAATCACTATTATTTCTTTGTAGTTAAAATATGTATCAGGAGGTTTATAATTACACTGGGGGAATATTCAGCTATAAAAACAAATATGAAACCATATGGTATTTAGGTGACCTTGGTAAATATGTAATTCTGTCTTGGCCAATTTGCAATCAAAATATATATCCCCTCATTCCTTCAGGGAGCCTGTTAGTGATCATTCTGTCCATGTAGGGTGGACAGTGCCGTTGAGAGCAGCACAGAGAGGGATGTATCCATGACAGATTTGAATGCATGTGATAGTGCTGTGTTTGTTTGGAACAAAGGAACTTTCCATTCTGGTGTGCAGGTCTGGTAAAGTTTCCCAGGGAAGCTGTGAAAAGGTTGTCAAGTGAAGACTGGGTATAGACACAATAGGCAGATATCAGTGGGAAAGAACAGTGGGAAGGCAAGTTCTCCTTAGAGTAAGTGGGCACTAAAGCTCTGGGTTGGGGGCAAGGTAGGATTTTCAAGAAGGGCCAGGAATGTAGGAATGTAGCTTCTTTTAGTTGTGCTACTGGGGATTGAACCCAGGGGCGCTTAACCACTGAGCCAAATCCCCAGCCCATTTTAGTTTTTATTTTGAGACAGGGTCTCACTAAGGTGCTCAGGGCCTTGCTAAGTTGCTGAGGCTGGCTTTGAACTCACAATCCTGCCTCAACTGCCCGAGTCACTGGGATTACAGGCATGTGCCTCCACACCCAGCAAGGACTTTATTTTATATGAAAGGAACTGTGGGGGATTTCTTTTGAGTAGAAAACTGTCTTAAAAAATATTGTTATTCTTCCTTGAAACCACATGCTTTTTCTAAGACCTTACTACCTAATAATTCATTAGGATTATTAAAATTTTAAAATTTTGTAGGAACTTTGGTTTCTTTGTCACGCACACATCTTTCTTTTATTCTCTGGAGTCAGTATTTAATGCAAGGCTTATCACAGCCGAATCTCGTGGCTTTTTTTTTCCTAAGGCATTTTAATTATTATATTTTATATTATTGGCAGATGCTGAAATAATAAATAATAAATGCGACATCTGCAGCAAGTGTTGCATTCTTGTTCCTGTCGACAAACCATTGCATTTTTCTCAATCCTCTCCCTCAAGGAAATTAGACTCTTGCTTTTATCTTAAAATTTATATTTTTCTGTTTTCAAATATTAGAAAGTCTTGGGAATGTCTTATTCTCATTGGAAACTTCTTTTGATTAAAAAAATAATCAGCATGTCTCTATTTTCTAGGCTCAACAAGAGGTTAAAGAGTGAACCCCTAAAATCTGACTTCACAATAGATTTACAACATGAGGTATGTCGTGGTTGGTTTGATTAAAAGTTTCAGTAGTCAAGAATTTGTGTATTTTGATATAAAAGCTATTTTGTATTCCCGAAGAGTGCATTTTTCTCTACTTACAACCATTTTCTCTCCACTGAAGTAATTTGACAGCACTCCAGTAAACTAGGTTCTTCTATTTTTAAGCTGATTTAATTATTTAGGTAGAGAACGAGAAGTGAAAAAAATTGTATCTTATGATTCATGATTCTATGTTTTTAAAGTAGGTGGAAAGGTCCGGAGGTGAATTTTTTGAAGTATGCAAAAATGTCATTCAAAGCACTGATAGTCTTACTTTTTTTTTTTCTTTTTTGGGGGTACTGGGTATTGAACCCAGAGGTGTTTAACTACTGAGCCACATCCCCAGCCCTATTTTTTGTATTATATTAGAGACAGGTTCTCACTGAGTTGCTAAGTGCCTCACTAAGTTGCTAAATGCCTCACTAAGTTGCTGAGACTGGCTTTGAACATGCAATCCTCCAGCCTCAGCTTCCCAAGCTACTGGGATTATAGGCGTGTGCCACCATGTCCAGCTTACTTGGTGTTTTGGTTGTACACTTGCTGTTATGAAATGAATGTTTGTGTCTGTGCCCCCAAATTCATATGTTGAAACCTAGTCTTTAATGCTGTATTCTATGGGTCATGAAGGTGGAGCCCTAGAAATGAAATTAGGGCCCTTATAAAAGAGACCCCAGAGAGCCTACTCACTCCTTCTACCATGTGAAGGCAAGAAAGGGGCCATCCATGAACCAGGAAGCAGGCTTTTATTGGACACTGATCTTGAACTTCCCAGCCTCCAAAGCTGTGAGACATAAATTTCTGTTGCTTATTAGCCACTCAGTCTATTACCAGCCCTAATGGACTAAGACGTGTGCCTTTGTTATGTGTCTACTTCGCTGTCTGAAACAGATTTGAGCCAACTAGTCCTAAGCAGGCAGCTGTAGTGTGCCATGCTGGGCAACAGCACCTATTGTTCCCTTGGCCTTTAGTGGATATCTGTGAAGAGTTGTCGTGGAAGCACCTTGGACACCTATAAGAATGCCCCTTTTGACATTTCATCCATGGGCCTGAAACAGACCTGAACCTATGAATATTTTTGACATGTGCCATAAGGATCATCTGCAGGTTTCTCTAAGGCAGAGGCTTATAAACATTTTTTTTTTTTACTGTGACCCACTTTAAAAAAATACATTTTTCATTGTGACCCATATTTGTGTGTGTTGTTACTGATGTCTAAGTTTAGTATCATTGCAGTCTATCAATCAGAGTCATTTGAAAAATTTTTAGGTTTACTTTATGGCCTAGTTCATGTTCGGTTTTTATAAATAGAGAAAAAGATGCATATTTTCTAATTTGGTGTATAATTCTCCATCAGTCTGATCAAAGAAGGTATTAATTGTTCCTTTAAGATATTTTACTTCTTCTTCCTTTGTTGCTTCATTTCATTTGTTTTGTCTGCTTGATTTATCATTTACTAGGGGAGCAGTGTGGTGCTCTTCCATAATAATGGTGAATTTGACAGCGTGTCCTTGTGGAACTGCAGGCTCTTGCTCTTTGTACTCTGAGGATATGTTATTTGGTGCATGCTATTTTAGAATTGTTGTATCTTCTTAGTGAATTTATCATCTTTAGTGATGCTCTTTGTCATAATGCATATTTGTCGACATGATACTTCTACACTAGCTTTCTTTTGCTTCATAATCATTTTTCAATTTTTTTCTTTCAACTTTGTTTTGTACTTTTCTTTAGGATAAGGACATGCTTTTAAAGAGGAGATGCTTTTATCCCCTCTTCCTGGTTTGATTATCTTTATGCCACATAGCAAATTTATACTCATTGATTTTCATTACTAATAATATTTGAATTGATTTCCATCATTTTATCTCTCCTCCATTTCTCTCTATTTTTCTTGTTAAAAACTTCTTTTTTATCTTTCTTATTGCTCCATATTTTTTCTGCTTTATTATTTAGGAAATTCAATCCCTCTGTCTTCTATACTTTATAGGTTAAAATGTTTTAACATGCTTTCCTAACCTAATAATAGCTAATTAGCATTCAGAGAACTGAAGGGCCTGACAGTAATTTAACTCAAATTGTGGCACTGTTTATATGCTATTATTATCCAGTATCTCTATGCCTTCTCCCTTTTTACCCCGAACCTTGGCTGTGGTCATTTCTTCATGCAGTTAACCTTTGTGTTACCATCATTGTGTGTTTGCCACCTTTGGTACCATCCCATCTTGCTTTGCAGACCTCCTAACTGGGGGCACCTTTATTCTTCATGAAACACATATTTAGAATCTCTTTTAATAAGGTGGTAATCCTATTAATCTTTTTTTTTTTTAGTATTCATTTTTAACTTCATTCATGAGATACACTTACATCATGTGTACAATCCTAGATTGTCAGTCATTTTTCTCTCATCTCAACGACATAATTCCATTGCATTCTGGCTTCTGTTGCTGAAGTGATAAGAAATCAGTCCTTAGACTAATGTGGTTCCTTTGTATATAATATGTTATTTTCTGTTTGCTTTTAAGTTTCTTGGATTTCTGTTCTGCAGATTCACTATGACATATGTAGATGGGACCCTTTCCTCTAATCCTGTTTAGGATACATTAGACCTTTCTATATTAGGATTGTTAAGCATCTTTTGAAAATTCCCAGCCATTGTCTTGTGAACTATCTTCTCATCCCTATTCTCTTTGTTCCATTCTCCTGGAACTTTAGATGGAGCCTGGAGTTATGAACTTCTCTTTTACATATTTCATCTCAATTTCTTATTATACTACCTTTTTAGATTATTTGAACAGTTTATTCTTTAGTTCTCTAATTTTTTATTCAGCTGTATGTAAAATGCCATTTATCCTAACCATTAAATTTTTCATTTTAATTATTGTTTTTATTTCCAGAATCTCTATTCAGTTATTTTTCAAATTTGTTTTCGTGCTCTGTATACTCTTTTTAAACAAGTTGCTCATGTTTTAAATTTTTTAAAATAAAAATTTATTAAATATAGTACTTTTATAATTTGCAGTTAATAATTTTAATATCTGAAGTTTTGGATGTGACCTAATTTTGTCTGTGGGCTCTTTTTACTTATTGTGATTTTCCTCTTGTTTTTCTGGAACTTTGTGGTAGCAGTCCTCTGAGGCCTGTATTAAGGTCGTTTCTCAGCACAAGGATTAACATGAGCTTCTGCTTGCTGATAGCACCTTTTACTGAGTTGGGACTACTTGACTCCATTTCACATGTATTTAGACCTTTCCAGGTGCACAAATCATGGAGGCCTGCCTTTTGGTTACACAATTCCCAAAGAGAGTTGGAGATGACTTTTCACCTCTGCCTGGCTTCCAGGCCCCAGCTCTGGGTGGCCGTTTGGACCTAGCCCCATCCCACCTGGGCAGTCCTAGGCCTCACGCTCTTCCCTCCCTCAGAAACTCAGCATTTCCAAAAGTTTTCAAAAGTCAGTTGACACTAAATGGGCAAAGCCACCCTGGGTGCTTTTTCCCCTGTCCTCGGAGGCTCCATACTCTTGGGACCATTTAGCAGTACACTTCAGATGACTTTAAAGGCATTTAGCCAACATTTTGATTTGTTCTCCACAAGTTGGCTGCTCCGTGTAGGTAAACAGTAGGTTGCAGGAAACCAGAGCCATGATACCACGTCCTTACCTTTGTCTCTGTGACGTTCTGGAATGTGTTTCTTCCTGTAATTGCTTATTGACAGCTTTGATTTTTCTTTTTTTTATTTGGAGGGCTGAATATTGACTCATGGCTTTCCCATTTGGTTTAAGTTAAAAAAAATCCCATTGAATACTGACACCTTGATCCATTTCAATCTAACGCTCTTCTGAGAAGGAGGTTACACTGACCCTTGAGATATTTTGTACCTTCTTACACTTGTGGTGTTGGCTGAGTTCCTTCCTCACCGCTGATCTCCTGTCTCCCACAGATTGCCCTCTACATCTGGGACAAAGGCGGAGGACCTCCCCTAACCCCTGTGCCTGAGTTTTGTACAGACCGTGTGGATTCCCACTGTGCTACCCAATTCCGTTCTTTTCTACCGCTTTGTGTAAGTAATAGAAGAAAGGCTTCCTTGCAGATCAAAGGAAAATACATGCTGTATATAACATTGTCCTAGTATACTTTAAATACTAGTGTGTGTGTGTGTGTGTGTGTGTGTGTGTGTGTGTGTGTGTGTATGTGTGTGTGTGTGTGTACATCAACCTTGCCCAGGGCCAGGCCTGAACCTTATTTTTCAAGAAATAACAACCCTGTAGGTAAGTGCTGTTATATCCCATCTTCTACGTGAGAGAAGGCTGCGCAGCTAGAAGGGAGGGCATGAGAGTTGTGTGGGCATCTTCTCACTCCAGAGCAATTTTCTTTGGCCACACAGAATCTGTTGATTGGCATTTTTATTCCATGCTCTGGAAAGACAGTTTCAAACATTTTCTTGGGCACATAGGCCGTGCCCACAAGCCCATCCCCTTTCCTCTCTCAGCAGGTTACCCTGCTCTTGACCTCACCTGAGACTATCCAGAACTTCTCTTGTCAGATCTGTGGCCCAGTCCCCAGGAGGAGCCTGAGGACCCCAAAACTCACTAGATTGTTAGCAGTTTTGTCTCATGAGGGAAAATATACTCAAAACACTCAAATGGTGTATGTTGCTCTTAGCTCAGTCACCCAGAAGGGGGTGTGTCTTAAAAGGTACACAGACACAGTACAGTGCAACCGTGGAGGGAATCCGCACTGTTTACAGTCCCTGAGGAGGAAACTGTTTACTGGATGGTACCAGAACTACCCAGGGAAGGGCTGGGGGAAAGGTTAGGCTGGGCTACAATCTCACTGTTCCAGAAACATTCTAAGAGTGAAATTGGTAGGAAAATAGGTTTCATTCAACACCACCTTTAAAGGAAGATAGAAGAAATTTACTGTTTTCAAAGTTCCATCTTCAGCTGGGTGTAGTGGCCCACGCCTATAATCCCAGCAACTTGGGAGACTAAGCCAGGAGGATTATAAGTTTGAGGCCAGCCTCTGCAATTCAGCGAGACCCTGTCTCAAAATTAAAAAAGGGCTGGGGATGTAGCTCAGTGGTCCTTGGTAAAGCACCCCTGGGTTAAATCCCTGGTACAAAAAGAAGAAGAAAAAAAATTCCATCTTCAAAATCTCTGAAGGTACACAAGCTTCCAAAGGAGAGGAGACAGTGAAGAGTGACAAAGGGCAAGAAAAGTAGCTGTGGGGATTCACTTGCCCGATGCTGCTGCAGAGGCCTGGTTGGGGCAGGGTGATCTCACTCTCAAGTCCCTTGGCACTTGAGTGTGTGTGTGTGTGTGTGTGTGGTGTGTGTAGGGGGGTTTGCCATCATTTAGCTTCCATTCTTGGATTAAAGAAATTGTTCTTAATTCAGGGAAGGGGGAGTTCAAATTCAAATTCATCCTGTTTAAAAGCCAGTCTGTCTAAACATAATGCCTGCTTGCCCTTTAATGCTACTAGTGCTCTGAGTAACATGACAGGGCTGGGGTTAGGTGTCAGTATAAATCAACCCCAAATGATTGAGAAAGTGTGTCTGAATGTTATTACAGGCCTAAGACAGGAACAAAGGGGTCAGAACACCTGCCAGGAAGCAGAAAGAGTGCTGTGTGCTGTTGACAGATCCCCCTGTGTGCCCCTTTCTTCTGCATGATCCTCCCTACCCGCGTTTGAAGTGATCCATCTTTGGCAGAGGGCAGAACATCCTTGGCTCAGACTTGGGAAGCCAGTAAAAAGGCCGTAAAAATAACTTTCAACATCAAACTAAGGCCAGGCCCGGAAAACAAAGTCATCTCTGGTTTTGTACTAAATCATCCGTCTTCTTTCTCCTTTTGTCAAAATCTTCACCAGGTGGGGAAAGAAAAGGAAACACAACTAACATTTATTAATCACCTGCTATGTGCTTAATTATTACAGTATCAGTGACAGCCATAAGGGCTTATTATTTCTCTTTTCTAAATGAACAGACAGAAGTTCAGAGAGCTTAAGAGTCTTAAACATGGCACACAGTCTATAAATGCTCCAGCTGTGACCTAGGTCCAGAGATTATGCTGTCAGCTGGATGACAGTTTTGGAATTTGTTTTTTTTTTTTTTGTAAGTGTGTGTGTGTGTGTGTGTCCCTAAAACTTTACCTTCAATATAGGCTTGACATTCTTGATATTGGTTACCTTGAGCTCTAGCACTTGTGAGATCTAATGTGGGCATGATTAAGATAACGCTGACTCATATGTATTCTTTTTCTTTTTTTTTTAGGGACAACCTGTGAAGAAGGAGGATATTTTTGTTGCAGTAAAAACATGCAAGCAATTTCATGGTGAAAGAAGTATGTTTTGGGTTATTCATTTTTATTGAACTTTTAAATCCAAACTGCCTTTGAAATAAAGTACAAACTGGGTATAAATTCAAGAAAGTTGCAGGATGCTGAAATGATAGCAGTTACCTAATCAGCATTCTTCATCCTACCCCTACAATCACTGAGCTCAATTAGGAAGGACAACTCTGTACTGAAACACGAGTGGCCAGTGCCCTTCTAAATACCGTTTAGAGCAACGTTTTAATTAGAATGGAAAAGCTCAGCTGTGGCAAACTTAGAGACAATGTGTGAACTTTGTATGTCCATTTTGTCCTACTGTGTCCATTCTCTGAACTACATGAAGAATATCAGAGAGAGGGGATCTCAAATAACAGAACCAACAAGAATATCTTCTTTAAGGCTCTGCCTTTTTAAAAATACTTATTCCAAATGCACATGTTGGCACTTTTTAATAAAGGTATATATTTGCTCATGAGTAGATTTATTGGAGAAAAAGGAAACAGCTACTTTGGGAACAGGGGCCCTTAAGGAAATCCTGGCATGCAAATGAAGGTTGTTTTGATTCTCTCTTGGTGTCATTACAGAATTGCGCTAGTTATGGTGCTAATGTTTTTTTTTTAAAACCCGTCCTAAATATAAATAGACATAATTTCTCTCTTTTTACACCTCACTTCAAGCAGCACTTTTCTGATATTGAAAATTAGGCAGTCTTTTGCATTTTCTAATTTTAACATATTTTAATTTTTTTTTTTCCCATGAAAAGACTGTCGATTTCACCCAGGGTGTGATATTTATGTAGGAGAGGCTTCTAAACCAGCTGTCATGTTCATGGGATGCAGCAGTGAGGGAAATTCACTTACATATTTTCTGTGATAACATTATGCATACAGATTATATTTTAAAGAGTAAGATGTTTTCCAAACAAAGGAATATAATAACTTGGGATTATAGTATTGCCTAAGACATCAAGATAAATTAAAATCTTACAATCAGCAAATCTCTTAAAATATCTTAAAAACCTTCATATTTGCCAAAAGCAGTCATGTCAAATTTCAGATCCTATTAAATCTGACTAAATATATGCATTCATTATGCAAGAAGTTCTAAAATAGTAATTCTTAACTATTAGTTCTTAATTCTAAAATATTCTTAAAATATTAAGAGTGACTATAGCATTAAAATAAGATTTTTGATTATTATACTTCTAATCTAAATTTATTTTCTTTTAAAATGCTTTTTTCATAGTCCAGAAGGGCTCTTTGTGGGTTGTCTTGTGAATAAGTATCTTTACAAAAAGGTGATTGGGAAGTGAACTATTCTTTTTTGTTTTATTTTGTAGTAAGCAGAAATAGTTGAATTGATGCCATTGATCTTGAAGCTGCTCTGGAATAGTGATTATTTTTGTAATAGAGATGTTAAGAATGCTGCTGTTGAGGGGTTGGGGCGGGGGTAGTATTCTCCTTCGAAACACATTTTTTTCAGGTTACAGTGAAGCAGTGAAATTAGGGACCCTCTCTGTTGTATTTTTCCTATTCTACAGAAATGGGAGAAAAGTTTGTTAATTTTTATTTAGTAATTTTGAGTGATTTCGTTTTCTGATTCCTTTGTTTATATAAAGTTGAGATGATCTTTTCAGGTATCTGGCATGCAAATGAAGGTTGTTTTGATTCTCTGTTGATGTCATTACAGAATTGTGCTAGTTATGGTGCTAATGTTTTTTTTTAAAACCCATCCTAAATATAAATAGACATAATTTCTCCCTTTTTAACACCTCACTTCAAGCAGCACTTTTCTGATATTGAAAATTAGGCAGTCTTTTGCATTTTCTAATTTTAACATTATGTTTTATTTTTTT